CAATTTCTTTATTCATTTATTTACAGGACTACATTCGTTGAGAGCTATGCTACATGATGTATTATGTCCTTCATTCGAACACTGTATTTACCTTTCTTTGATGATTTATATATATAATTTACAGTGTTTACGGCTATCTTGATTTATATTATACGCAACTATTTGTTTCTAGCCGTACTTATTGTGTAATTGAGTGTATCTGGTGGTGGTATTTGAATCTGTTCAATCATGAAGCCTCCGTGGTCTAATGGTTATGATGCTCGCCTTGAAAGCGAGAGGTCGCAGGTTTGAGTCCCGCATTTTATTACACAATTTCTTTATTCATTTATTTACAGGACTACATTCGTTGAGAGGTATGCTACATGATGTATTATGTCCTTTATTCGAACACTGCATTTACCTTTCTTTGATGGTTTATATATATAATTTAACAGTGTTAACGGCTATCTTGATTTATATATATATATATATATACGTATATATATATACATATATATATACATATATACATATACATATACATTTATATACATATATATTTATATATATACATATACATATATATATACATATATACGTATATATATACGTATATATAAAACTAGAAGGCTGCATTGGCAAACAAAATAGATAAAACAAAAAACTCCGGAGAGAAAGTAATAAGTTGCCAGGTATATATTTATTTAATAGTGAGCAAACGTTTTCGGTTATCAACCTTTGTCAAGCTCGAGTAACTTATTACTTTCTCTCCGGAGTTTTTTGTTTTATATATATACGTATATATATATAAGTATATATATATATATATGTATATATATAAGTATGTATATATGTGTGTATATATATGTATATATATATGTAGATATATAAGTATGTGTATATGTATGTATGTATATATATATGTGCATATATATATAAGTATGTATATATATATATGTGTATATATATAAGTATGTATATATGTTATAATGGATATATGTATGTATATATAATGTATATATATAATATATATATATATAAGTATATACATATGTATGTATTTATAAAAAGTATATCATTGTGAATCCACGTGTGTTCTTCAAATTATATATAAGTCGTAGACTGTAGAACACTTCATTTATTTTTGAAAGAAATTTTATAAAAGTATGTATATATGTTATAATGTAGTCATATATATATATATATATATATATATATATATATATATATATACATACATACATACATTATAACATACATACTTATATGTACGGTTGGGTCAAATTTGTGTGGTGGTTGAAAAATACAGGGGGAGTATCTATGGCCCAAAATGGTGATTTCCGACCACATTGGTAATGTAATTCGACAGGCAAATTACAGTAACATTTATAGCAAATTTCTTTGAAAAAATATCGTAGGCAGAAGGCCTAGCTAGGTATACAGTATTTTCATTTTACAGTAGTTTGGAACGATATCGGAAGTGGGGGTGCTGGCAGTGGTCTGCTAAGGACTACAATTTATTTGAAAATATCTTGGGTCCGATCGTCCACACCAGTTGAGCCCAATCGTCTGTCACCCGAAGTTTTCATTACGATGATCAAGAACGTACACGATCTAGGCCCTAGGCTGGCTTAGCTTTCTGCCGTAGCTTTCTGCCGTCACTCTGCTACGTATACTATAATACTACCGCATAACAAAGAAAGCGACCCACGTAATGCATCCTTAAATATTACACACATTATTTAATTGTATTAGACGATAACACGATATCATTGATTGAACGATCTAACCACCCTCGCATCGCAGTAATACTGAACCTATGTACCCGACAGTCGGCTGCCTTTATATTTTCATCTGTTTTCAGTTTGCATCTAGTATCTTTGGTTTGCATTCAAAGGGTACATTGCTGCACAGCCAACTGTCGGGGATATAGTACCTTCATATGACTACTCATACGGTCGGTTAGCGTGAGCCCTGACTGAATTCTGCAGAAACTTCACATTAATCTTCGCATCGCGATGTAAAACAAAATGTCGGAAAACTTTTCTTTGACGCATGCGCATTTGCATAAATGTCAACACACGCACGCACACACTACACACAATAAAAAACATAGGAAACAGCCAGAGTGATTACAATAGTTCCTATTGCACTACATGCATAGGAACTAAAAATGCGCAAAAGAAAAAATAATAATAAACACTTTAAAGAACAACATTAATAATAAATATAATAATAATAATAATAACAATAATAATAATAATAATAATAATAATAATAATAATAATAATAATAATAATAATAATAATAATAATAATAAAAATAATAATAACATACAATACAATTCAATAGTAAAAAGATTGGGGGAACAAAATGTAATATATAAAATATAAAAGCAGTGAACATTTAAATAATTAAAACCTTAAAATACAGATAAAATAAGGCTAAACAATATTATACCATGAAAGTTAAAAACCGGAAAGAAGAAGAAAAAAAAATAACAATAATAATAATAATAATAATAATAATAATAATAATAATAATAATAATAATAATAATAATAATAATAATAATAATAATAATAATAATAAATAACACTTTAAAATAATATAGGCCTAGTCATGGATGTGTCAAAAAAAAAAAAACATTAACAGAAAACAAAACACGATTCAGAAAATTAAAAACTGCTGCCCGCGCCCAGTGGCGCCGCATTCTTGGCATTGATTTTACTCCTTTGCCGCTTTGGTCTATGACTATTGCCGTTTTGGTAGTTGTCATTGCCATTTTGGTCTGTTGCTGTTTTGGTACTTATCATTGCCGTTTTGGTCATTGCCGTTTTGGTTTTTGCCGTTTTGACCTGCTCTCACATTTATAAATCTTTATAACATATATAAAAATCAGATTTTTCTTAACTGAAATCTTACCGGGAATGGGGTTTTAAGTCCATTGGGCTTCTAAGCAAGGTTTTACAGTATTTTAGAATCAAAATCCATCTATTATTTATTTATTATTATTATTAATGAAAAAAAAAATGAAATCGTTATTTTCGACCTTGGTACAATATAAATGTGTTAGTATGACTATACAGAATTTCACTATATTATTGGCCTAGGCCAGTCTATTATAGGCATTGTTCATGTCATTGGACTGCAGCGAAAAATTGATTCCCCCATCATTGGATGAATGTGGGTAGCTCTTAGCTACTCATACGAAACTAGTTTGTAGCTAATAAATACAAATGGAATTGTTTGCTCATTGTTTTATTTGATTCTGCTCCCAGATCTGGTTGAGCCCTCTCATCCTGATGATTTGCACCAACTTCCCTTTGATTTTATATATATATATATATATATATATATCATACCGATGTCATGCAAATTTATCACTACAACAATAAGTCTGTGAATCTCACTCTGTATGATTTATAGATGGTATTAACAATTTTCAAGATACTTGCCATCCATCGAAGGTAGTATAATGTGGATCTGCGCTTCCCACACAGATTTTAGCAATCTCTACGTCTTTTGTGACAACCTATCAAAGCGATAGACGGGAAAATAACAAATGTCATTTACTTTCAGAAATACTTATAGAGTAATTAAATATTTTGTAAGTCATTGATATATTGCATCACTATAAACATATCATGAAAAAAATGTCAACAGTCGGTTGGAGTTTTAAAATTGTGAAACCTGATATACCAACTTTTATAAGTGCAAAACTCAGAGTCAGCAGTGCAAACTCAGAGTCAGTAGTGCAAAACTCAGAGTCAGCAGTGCAAACTCAGAGTCAGCAGTGCAAAACTCAGAGTCAGCAGTGCAAAACACAGTCAGCAGTGCAAAACTCAGAGTTAGCAGTCCAAAATTCAGTCAACAGTGCAAAACTAAGAGTCAGCAATACAAAAAACAGAGTCAGCAGTGCAGAGCTCAAAACACCCTCTATTTTGAATGAAATTTCAGCTTTTTTAGCCGCGTGCTTACGGACGGTGTCATCTAACTGTATTTGAGAATTGCAATCAATTGAGCACTCCCTAAGTGACCATTGACAAATTATTATGTGCACATACATCTCAATAAAATAATAAATTAATTTAATTATATTTATTTAAATACACAAATATTTCTATTGATAATTTATTCAATCTAATATAAAAAAAATCTTATCTAATTTATAAATAATTTTTAGAATATAATTGATTTAATATTTTTTTTCATTAACGATTACATACCTAATTAATAAATGATTTAATAATATGACACAAAAGTTTAATAATAAAATAATTAATTTAATAACTAATTTTACTGATTAGTTATTAAATAAGATAAGTTTTTTTTTAATTTTTGAATAATTTAAATAATTTATTTAATAGTTTCAATTAATAAATTAAATTTTTATTACTTAAATATGATTGTAACTATAATTATTTATATAATTGGATTATATTTAATATATATATATATATATTTTTTAAAATATTCACTAGCTAAAAACATTATTCTACAGATATGAAGCATTGTATTTGAGGATGGATGAAATGTTGCGACAATTTATTATGTTCGCATAAACCTCAATAACATAATAAACCAATTTAATTTAATTTATTTAAATAAGTAATTCATTTATTGATAATTTATTTAATCTAATAACATAATAAAAATCTTATCAATTTTGTAAACAATTATTAGAATATAATTGATTTAATATTTTTTTATTAACAACAATAATTATGTCCGCATAAACCTCAATAACATAATAAATTAACTCAATTTAATTGTATTTAAACAAATAATTTTATTGATAATAATATAACACAATAATTTATTTATTAAATAGTTAAACATTTCAAATAACTATTTAATTTTTTAACCAACTATGATTATAACTATAATTATTTATATAGTTTGGTTATATTTAATGTAATATTAAACAATATTCTCAAGCTAAAGACATTGTCTTACAGATGACGCATAAATTTAAAAGAATTGAACATGCGATTAATAAAATCAAAACCTTATCTGAGAGGCCCCAGAACAACAACGTCCATACGCATATTAAGCCTTTCCACATAGAATTAAGAGATTCCAAACGAGTATACACTTTATTGGATAAATTGATAATATTACTACACAAACATTGCAGTAAATAACATTAAAATTACGATTTAAGGACCAAATACTTATAAACTCAAAAAATTATTTCAAATTAAAGAGAGTGTTATAAGTGAACATAACGATACTCATTGTAATGGCATAGAAAAACAGTTTAATCAGTGACAATTATAAACTGATAGAAACAATAAAAACAGAAACAAAGCGAAGACTCGAAGAAGAACGGAAGATACGATAATCATACAACTATAAATTCAAACTTTGTTATTGTCAAGGAACTTTATAGAAAAAGGAAACACATTCATAAAACATTAAAAAAAAGTTATAGAAAAAAGAAACACATTCATAAAACATAAAAAAAAAGTTCACATAGAGAAGAAAACTGCAAACACCAAGGAAGAGAAAGCTAATACCATTACTAATAAATATAATTTTACTACTAAAAAATTAATAGCCGACTCAAGGATATCCAAAATAAAGGACCAAACTCACAATTTCTGCTTTAATACCTTAGGATCTCTATAATTGGAATGTATAGAAAATTTTGCTTGTATAGCAACCCGAAATATTATCAAATCATACTATAAACAAATAAAAATTACCATATACAAAAGCCATAATAATCAGAAAACAGCTGATAACAATTTAGGACTATGTATTAATTAAACTTGCAAATATCGATAATTTTTTTATTCCTGATGAAAACATAATTAATGTCGAAATACTGAATCTTGAAATGAGGCTTCCATTTTGATAGTTTAGGCATGTATATTATACTATCATATTACTTCTTCTAATTGGTATTATAATGAGTACAAAAGTCAATTAAATTGCAATAGTTATACAAAAATAAATAAGCTCCAATAATAACAAAAGAAAAATTACAT